CACAAGAATCAAATTTCAAGAGCATATGTAATACCAAAGTTGGTGTTACCTATTCTTAGGGTCAAATCTTGCAGGGGGGAGAGAAAATGGCTGCACTATTTGAGGAAGAGGGAAATCCTTGTGTGGGATATATCCGTCATCATCTCCGCTTGTACACGCAACTCGAATTGAATTCTTGACAAGATGTGCAACTCCTACAGTGGCCTTCAAGCCAATGTCATGGCAAGTCACGAAAAAGTGATCAGCACCTAAAGTTCTATTCCAGAAAGGGTACTTGACCATTAAGCTTTCGACATATTCTTGTACGGTTCTGGTCATGTTCTCATAAGAGAGTCCCTGCACATCGACGTCAGTGAGGAGTGAGGCCCAAAGAAAGAGATGTAAAATCTTGAATCGGAAGTAATAGCACAAAAGAGACATCAAAATTACCTTGCCTCTCATTTTATGACAGGAAATGGAATGAAGAAGAGATGAGCAGTTTCAGGGTCATTAGTCACAAACGGACTTTCTCTAATGTTCTTAAAGAAATACCCTTCGCTGGTATACTTGCCGGAAAGACTCCTTGGTGTATGATAATACATATTAGGGTCTCCATCCGGGTACAGGAAGATCTTGAAATGTCTCTCCATCTCTGCATAATCCAACTTGAAAACCTCCGCAGAGTGAAAGATTGAAGAAGTTGAAGTCTCTTGGAGTGCCTCCAACTTCAAAACCGCTCAAAGTTGATCAAAAAATTAGTTAAAAGAAAATATGCAAACAAAGAAGAAGATAATGACGAAAAGAGACGGCAATGAGTACCGGAAAAAAGGCCTGGGGAGAAGGGCGTTGGAAGAAACTGCAGCAATAATCCTTGAAATAGATCAGGAAGCCAAAAAGGGTTATATCGAAGAAGAGAAAGCAAAGAAACACACAGCAGACTGAATTGAGAGGAGAAGGGCAGATACTTCTCTTCATTTTCTTGTGAAAAGTTGGAACTTTTGTGAAGAAAATGTGTTTTCTTGGGACTTGGTTGATTGGCAGAGCAGAGGAGGGAAAGGGTTTAGAAAGGCAAGAGTGCGAGTTTTTTCGCGCTTTTAGTTTTGACGGTTGACGGAGTTCGTTAGTTACAGTTGCCACTTTTGCCACGTCAAATCGAAAAACCAAACTCGGTACAGGTCTTTCCATATGGCCTTATAGTTGAAAATTGAAATGCGCCTATTTCTACTAGGAAAATTGACGGTAAGAACAATTTGAAAGATTTTGATACTTTGATGGTGATGGAAATTCAATGCTTAGGTATAAAAAATGATATTGATAGCAGGGAACTACCATTGGTCTAACTGATGCAACCAAACAAACATGCATTTATAACAAATTTATGATGACTATCATAAAAGTTTTGGGTTCTTCAAAATCGGAAACCAAAATGCAGCTACAAAAACTTTAATAAAGAATAAAAAGATAAGATGAACACGGTTCTATGTTAAAATTAAAAATATATATATAACAAATTTCAATTTCGTATACAGCCTGATAAACTGTGAAGTGATCGCAGCAATTCTCCTCGGTGTTGCATTGAAAGCAGTTCGGAACAACAGATCATGTGGCTCAATGCATGTGGTAACCTCTCAATTGCTGGGAAAAAAGGCATTGCAACTGGAGGTAAGCATGATTTTGATACAACAATGCTGACAGGCAAAGATATGGCATGAGTCTGCGGCTGAGGATCTCCATAATGTCAAGAAGAGCTAAAGAACCAGAAATATGTGTGGCATGGTTAAAACAACTCTAAGATTTGGCATCTTGGGGCTTGCCAGTGGTTAGGTTTCTCAACTTTCTGTCATGGTTTAGCATGGCACTTACACCCTCAACAACCAAGATAATCTGCAAAAGAAGGGCAGAGTGGGGAGAAAAAATCAATCATCAGATTAGGTTCAAGTTTCTTTCGACTAAGCAAGTCTTCATATATTCAAAATGATAAGTTGAAACATGAATATTCTGTTAAATAGATTGAAAGCTCCTCAAATCCATAACTTCAAGCACAAATTTCCATTTAGATTGAGCAGATTTTCATTAACGAGGAAATATATCAATTTATGCTGTTTCCCCAATGACTGCTTTGGCTAAAGATTAATCCATGATTAGTTAATCATATACAATTGAAATAGAATAAAATCTAAACCATAAACTCATGTCAAGGTGAGGAGGAATTCAAGCATTGAATAAGTTGAAGCAGTCCATGTAAGACATTTAGTTGAAAAATAAAAATGACCATACATTCCTTAGAAAAAAAGACCAAACCATGAAAATTTTGGCAGGAACTAGAGAAAAGACACGTCTCTTTTCATAGTATTATTTTCTGTTGTTACTACTCTATGCTACTTTGAATGACATTCGCAATATCAACAATAAATGGCAAGAAGCTAATTTGCCTCCTTGAATTTCATTTTGGACAAACCTGACATCAAATTATAAATGAAAAAACCATGAATCAGAAAAAGATATAACTCACCTGCAAGCAAGCATAAACCATAGCAGTTGCAAAGTAGAAGTTTGCATTGCCGGTGCCCTGTAAATTTCAGCCAGTCAATTACAGAACTAAAGAACTATGTACTTCTACTCATTTGGCCATTAAAAAGCAAGAGGCATACCCTCCATATCCATAGGGTGTGCATGACAGGGCTAAGAAGAGAAACTCCAACATATCCACAGAAGAGGAAGAAAGAGAATTGTATATCTGCATGGAAGAGATAAGGCTTAAAATATGAAACCATGATAAATTCCATTCAGTATCAAAAGAAAACCTATTAACTTGCCTGCTAATTCGTTAACAAACCAACCCAACAAACCCAAGTACAGTGCTGAATCTCCAACCTAAACAAAATTAAGCAACAAATGGTGAGGGGAATAACCAATCAGATTTTTAATTTTAAATAAGTCCAGAAAAACCTCTGCAACAGTTAGACAGATTAACAATTTCTCAAGTATAGAAAAAAAAGGGTCCAGAAACAAAAGTAATAATAGCGTAAGAGCCATGGTCTAGCCACAGTTAGTTACATGCATATGAGAAGCAATGTGCACCAAGAGGTGCGAAATTTAGAACTTACATCAACACGTGTTCATTGACACTAGTGCATAATAATGTATTCAAACCAGAAGATAATGACAATAAACTCATGATATCACACTAATGTAAGCACACAACGAGAAAAGAAAGCATAGGCAGGAAGACACAACGGACTCCTATATAGAACCCAGCGGGGCAACTGGATAAATAATTCATTAAGCATCATTAAAAGACACTATGGGATGTTTAGAGAATCTTAGTGCTCAAGGAGAGTGGCACAGGCAGTGAATGTTCTCATATCCCATATTCACAATCAGCTAGGCACAAGTTACATATACCACTTCATGTGGGGATTTTATCCAGAGCTGTTATCTAATACAGTAAACATCATCATTAAACCAGGTGCATTACAAATATCTGGCAAAAAAAAAAAAATTTTGTGAGATTGTCATCATCTACCCTATTTTGAGGACCTAATTAATTGCACCAAGTAGATTATGGTACTCTGCATGTATGTGATTATCTAGTTCATATCACATACATAGACAAGACTTACCTAAAATCACAAGTTAAGGGTGTTGCATAACTTTTCAGAGATCATTCCTAAGAAAAAAAGGTAACAATAGAACAGCAAAAATGAAATAGAGAGAACTTACTGATGGGTAAGACTTCAGCATGGAAAATATGGCAATGTATATAAAAGCCAGGAAGCAGGGCCGGTGGTGAAGCCGTATGGCTAATGGAATTATCATAAATAGAATATTCACATGGAAAACTATTAAAAAGAAGTTCCTGAAGAAGTCAAAAACTTCAGCAAAGAAGTACCTGAGTCGACATTATAGTAACATGAGACTTTGAGTGATGATCAACTTAAGCTGCTCCTCACATGAAATAAAGATAATTTTAAACTCACCATAAAACGCCTATATTTGGAGACAAATCTTCCACAGTGAGGATGAACCCATATGTACTACAAAACCAGCCACACAGAATGAACAGTCAAAATCTTTGATATAACAATCTTACAAGACAAAGTAAAGTACAGACTGTCTTAAAAGCAATATAATGCTCGATGACTTAATTAAACAATAACAATACCTGCTCTTAAATTCAGGAAAATCATTAAAGATAATATCATCAACCTCAACAAGACTTCTTAATTTGGTATCATATTAAAAGCTTATTACCAGAATTTATAGTAAGCTGCACCCCCTATTTCATACAAAGTAAACCACCAGAACTAGGCCTAGCAAATGAAGAGTCAACTATTCCTGAGAGATTTTACATAATGAAAAAAGAAAAAAAAAATACAACTCAAGCAAAAACATCTGCGGGTTCCTTCCCAAAGTATTACACTAGTACAATGCAGAAAACAAAGAAAGAAGCAAAAAAACTGCAGAATGATATGGCATTCAATTGCTACCTTTTAAACATTTCCCATAGACCACCAAACTGTTGCAAAGAAATGCCACACAGAGCCAACACATAGGCTGACCACAGAAGAGCCCAAAATGCAAAATGAGTGATTGGCCTCCATGAGAAGCCAAGAGGGAGCTTTGACTTGTTCAATACTTCCTCTTTATGGTTCTTTTGCAAAAACAATTTCCTAGGAGGGGCATCTGGACCGCATCCTAATAAAAAGATCACCTGTGAGAAAACTCAACAACGATTATACTTCTTGGAGATTGACTTATGTTGAGAAAACTGAACAAAGAAATTTGAAAATTATCTCGCACGCGTTATAAGCACTTGCTCTATAGAAACAGAAAGATAAAACAAGAGAAAGGTGTACCGGAATAATCAGAATAGCAGGGTAAAGAGACAAATGAGTTGCGATGACCCATCCAAAAGCAGCCAAGGGAACTAGTCCTGCAATCCACAGAAAGATCATCATTCAATAGCAAATGCTTACATATGCAAGAATGGTGCCAAATACACACTAATCAATATATATGTTGATTGTTGCTAATCCCAGATAACAACTCTAAGAAAAAGTTCATCAAATAATGACCCAAAAGTTTTAGTATATAACAACAAATCTGTATAGTTGCCATTTATACACTCTTCAAATTGTGTAGAAACTATAACAAAAGTAAAATTTAGCATCAGCACATGTAACCACTTTTTCAACAAATAGCTACATGCTAGGAAAATATCCAAAACACCCCTTAGTTCTAAAAACAAAATATTGCCCAGGTTTCAGATAAAGAGAATAAAAATCCTGTTCTCTACCTCTCAAGTAACATATTACAAATGAGATATCTCTCAACCCTGCCAAATTTGAGCATTTTTAGGGACCAGGGTGGAAGCCTTAGGTACCTTAATTTACTTCAATAATTACACTAAAAAACTCTAACTATTTGAAACTCTTGTTCGTTAAAGTCAGGTTATCATAAAAAGTTGGAAGTTGTATGATGTGTGAGTATCTATCCCTTATGCCAAAATTTCGAGGATACTTGTATCTGACACTCCACATCTATGTAGATACTCAACATCCATGTCCTTTTTAACTCTAAATTGAAGCTCCAATCGTCAAAAAGTAGCATAATTTAAGGAAATGTGCATAAATGTTGTTGCAGAATATGAGACAAACACATTGACAATTAATTATCAGGAACAGAGTTAAAAGGTTTCAGGCATTAGAAGCATGATAAAGAATTCACTGGTTTATAGGCATTCAAGAGATTCTGAGAAAGGAATGCATTTCTCCATAACAAATTGAAAATTTTCACTAAGAATCAGAAGAAGAAATCAAGATAAGTATAATAGTGTTCAAAGAATAGACACACACACGAGCAAGAATCTAATATCAGAAGGGGATATCGCAGCTTGCAGCTTTTAACAATCTCTTACGTGAACATGCTCCATAAAGGCACAATATGACAGCCATATTTTCAATTGGCGATGTTGACAAGCCCACACATGCAACTATCGTGAAAGGATTCCATAAGTAGATAAGAGCAGCAGCATCTCCGGGAGAGAGGATCTCTGGTTACAATCAATAATTAAGTTCATCAACAGGGAAAGAAAGGAATACGACATGCATTAGACTACACTTACAAGAAGAATGCATACTTGAGTGTGTGTTTTCCCTAAACAAAAAATTATAACATAGAAATGCTTACTAAAGAATTCACCTGAAGCTTTGGTTTGTTTAACAATGTCTAATGATTCCAAACTACGAAGATAAACAAGCCGAAGATTCTTTCCAGTAGCACGAATAAGAATTGCACTAACAACATCTGCAATCACAGAAACCAAACTGTATCCAAAAATGTGTTAATATTAACTACATAAGCAAACAAATACACATTTCTATATAAAAAAAATTAGCCATACTCGAAGAAACAGAAAATTCCACAAAAAAAAAATCAACATAGTGTGCCTTAAATAGATCTTCAAACACATTAAAATTATCACTAAAACGAATTCATATATATATGAACAAGATCTTACCTGTACAAAAGATGATTAGGCTGTCCTTCAATTCTGTACCAGCACAAAACAAAAAAAAAACAAATTACTAAGTCATTAAAGTCTGTGAATTAATCAGAAAAAAAATCATTACAAATTAAAGCCTAATTATTATTTTTAAAAGTTAATAATAAGCTGACGTGGCACCTCTGAACGGTAAGCGGTCCGAGAAGTGACAATAACAAAGGGGAACCGTGGTACATAGATCCTGAATAACCAAAAACCAGAAAAATCAAATACATTTCTTTTGTTTTCCGAATTAATATGAAAAAAATTAAAAAATGTTGGGCAAAAAAAAAAAAAAGAAGGAAAAACCTGCGTAAGGAGACATGGATAACTGCTTTAGCCAGTAACCTTCAGCCACTGCACCCAAAAAATTTCCAACCAAATTTAAGTTAAAAAAAAAGGAAGAGGCAAATAGATTAGATGGAGAGGGAAAGGGAGAGTACGGCGACGGAAGCTGGTTAGAGGAGTGGAGACTTCGGGGCGAGAAGCTAGGTTCAGGTTTTTGGGGAAGTAAATTAGAATCAGTCTGAAGATGATAGATGCTATCACCCAATTCCAAAATGAAAACGATGCCGTTTTATTCTTCTGCTTCACCATTTTCTGCGTTTTTCTTTCTCGAGGCTTGATTTCTTTTCAGTTTGCAGACAGAACTGGCTCGAAGCTGGAAGGGAAGTTACAAGTTACAACAGAGATGAGAATTCGCCCAATCTTGTGATCCGTGGTTTTGAAACGACGTCGCCGCTGGCAAAGCGAATTTGATTTTAAGGTTGATCTTGGGTTATGATATTGGGCCTAAACAGGGGGCTCATTGGCCCACTCTACCTGAATTACAAGAAAAGAAATTGACACTCATTAAAGCCACCGTTAATTCTTCATTTAATTCATTCCTAAACGCTCTTACAGACCTTGAATCAACTGTAATTGACATTGAAATCCTCCGTTTCAATAAATTGACCCCAAAGAGTGAAAAGGGGCGAGTATAAATGAAAGAAACAAGCCATTTCCTAATCATTTTTCTGAGATTTTTGCAATTCAATCACCAAACAATTCTTAGTTATACATAACGTTTACCTACTGCCTAGTTGATCTCCTCCAGCAATAAAAGTGGTCATCCAATTCCTGGATGCCGCCAACCCAAAGCTTAAAAGAGCAACATGTTGCCGTCTTGGCATTCCCATTTGGCAGTCACGATCTAACTATCCTAAGCCTAACGCGCAGGTTGGCTCGTGCAGCGCCAAATGTGCAGTTTTCTTTTCTAAGTACAGCAAAATCTAATGACTCTATGTTTTCGGCTTTTAAGCTTGATGTCCCTGAAAATATGAGAACCTATAATGTGGAGGACGGTGTACCGATTAATCATGTTTTCAGTGGAAACCCAGTGAAGAGATTGGAGCTCTTCCTTAAGGCGACTCCTGGAAACTTTATGAAGGGCTTAGATGTTGCAGTGTTGGAAACTGGTAGGAAAGTTAGCTGCCTAGTCACGGATGTCTTCTTGACGTTTGCTGCGGATATGGCTAAGGGTATGCAAGCTTCTTGGGTCCCTCTTTGTGTTGCGGTCCCATACAATCTGTCAGCCCATGTATACACTGATCTCATTCGCAGGCTTTACAATCATGATGGTGGTGAAGCGAATGGTGCAAATTTCCGGCACCAAAATCTGGATGCTATTCCAGGGTTATCTGCAATGTACGTTACAGATTTATCTGATGAAATATTGCCTAGAGATTCGAAAGAAACGTTATTTTCTTGCATGCTGAGTAGAATTGGATATGTTTTGCCTCAAGCTACCGCTATTGTCATGAATTTTTGCCAAGAACTTTACACTGCCCCACTCCTAGATGATCTCAAGTCCATGTTCCCAAATTTGCTCAACGTTGGTTTCCTAACGCAAGAACTACCGCCGCCACCATTGCCTCCATCAGATTCAGATTCGACAGGGTGTTTGTCATGGCTAGACAAGAAAAAATCCAAGTCTGTCGTGTATATTGGCTTTGGAACTGTGGCAACCCCATCAGGTGATGAGTTAGTAGCATTGGCAGAGGCACTTGAAGAAAGTCACATTCCATTTCTTTGGTCTCTTAACGACAATTGTAAGTCCCGTTTACCGACTGGATTTCTTCAAAGGACAAGCATGTATGGGAAAATCGTTTCGTGGGCACCCCAAACTCAGGTCTTAGGACATGCTTCAACAGGCGTGTTTGTGACACATTGTGGAGCAAATTCTGTGTTTGAAAGCGTTGCAAATGAAGTGCCAATGATCTGCAGACCAATGTTTGGGGATCATTGGATGAACGGACGTATGGTGGAGGAAGTATGGGGAATTGGTGTCAGAGTTGAGGGGCTTGTCTTCACAAAGAGTGGAGTCCTCAAGAGCTTGGAACTCATTTTGGGACATGAACAAGGGAGGAAAATGAGAGAAAGGATTAGAAGCCTTAGAGAGCTTGTCTTGAAAGCCGCACGACCTAGTGGAAGTGCTTCGCAAGACTTCAAAACTTTAGTTGAAACAATCTTAAATTCTTAATGCTGTAATCTCACACTACTGTATTACTATTAAATTTATTTTATTAAAATACTCACCAAGTCTTTGTATTCATGCATTTTATTATATTTAATTTTTGTATTCAAAATCGAAATAATTTTGTATTTTAATTTTGAGAATTGTTTCAAGTTAATCCCTCTTACTAACAACATTTAATTTTACCGTTAAAAAGATGATGTCAACTTTCACACGATAACATGGCATACCACATGGCACTAATTTAATGATGTGGCATTGTTACATAGCATTAATATGATGACGTGACGATATTGACATGGTATTAGGATACTAACGTGTTAGTGTCATGTGACAGATAAAATTTTTTTTTTTTAAAAAAAATTATATCAAGTTATTGGAATTAAATTGAAAAAAAATTATAATATAGGGACTAAATTAAATAAAATTGAAATGTTAAAAGATTAAATTGAAAAAAAATTTAAAAAATATAAATCTTTAAGTAAATGGTAGATATATTTATTAATAAATTTAATATTTAAGTATAAAATATTTATGATGTTAAAAAATATAAATAAATATTTGATTATTTGATTATAGAATATGTACATTAATGTATTTTTTTATAAAAATTAAGTTTGAATTCTCTTTCTATAAAAAAAATTTTGAAAAAAAATTTATACCTAAAGTCAAATTTAAATGAATAACTTATATTATGTTGATGAAGAAGGGAGATATGAGTTAATGATGATTATAAAAATAATTTTTAATTTTGACTTGTTTAATTTAAACATGACAAAACTCTTATTATAACCATAAAATTTGAGTTACTTCACCCTTTTGTTTAATATTTCACGTTATGTTCTTTAAGTTGAAATTTCTTCAATTAAAAACTACATTTATGGTTGATGGACTTAAATATAATTGTAAATATTTAAATTATTTTATTTTGTATTTACAAATTTTTTGTAAATCTAAATTCATAATATAAATTTAAATTTAGCAGAATTTGATTGTGATATTTGAATTTAAATAAAATCATTTTATAAAAAAATTTGAGTAAATTTAAATAATGGGTAAATTGGGTAAATGTTAAATAATTCCAAGAGAATAGATATTTGTAAATTGTGAAAGTTATAACTGAATTAATTTGTTTTGCTTATTTGAGTTTAGCTTAAGCTAAAAAACTAAGTCAAATAAATTTCAAATTTTTATTCTATTATAAATAGAAAAAAAAATTATTCAGTCTTTTTATATTGTTTTATTCCAACATAATATAAGTTATTTATCTAAATTTAACTTTAGGTTTAAATTTTTTTATAGAAAGAGAATTTAAACTTAATTTTTGCAGAGAAAATAAATCAATGTACATAATTTAAAATCAAATAATTAAGTATGAAAATATTTATATATATATATATTTTTTAGTAACATAAATCTTTCGTACTTATAAATTTGACTTATTAATAAGTATATTTATTATCTATTTAAATATTTATATTTTTTAAATATATTTTTTTAAATTTAGTCCATATATTATATATTTTTATTCAATTTAGTCTTTACGACATAAAACATACAAAATTTTTATCTGTCACATGGCATTGCCACATTATCAAATTGGTGTCATGTAATATGTCACGTTATTATGTTAATGACACATCATTAAAATATACCGTGTTAGTGTTGATATAATCTTTTTAACAATAAAATTAGATGTCGTTAATGAGAGAGATTAAATTAAACTAATTTTTAAAATAAAAAAAATATATTACTTCGATTTTAAGTATAGAGATTAAATTAAATAAAATATATGAGTAAAGAGATTTTGTAAGTATTTTGATCAAATTTATTTTTATATTAGATTAAAATTACTAAAATGACATTAGAATATTTAACTTATTAATAGTTACATAATTTCTCTTTTTAAAAAGCAAATTTGAATCCTCTCCTTCAAATAAAAAAAAACAATAGTATGAATTTATATTTAGCATATATAAGTACCGGATTATTTTACAAGAAATACGCTTCCACTATTAAGAGTTGAAACGGAAAGCGAGAAGATACCATAGGGCAAATCTGCCCGTTCTTAGGGAACTTTTGAACATACCGACCAAAATGTTTTTTATTCGTACGAGGAAATCTATAGCGTACCTCAGCGCGTATCTGGGTTCTGTACTCGCTGACGTTCAAACAAACACGGAACCGTGGGTACCACGCGTGACGATTACTCGCCGCGTTAGGCGACTATGACAGTTTTTATAATTTCCAGCGCCATAAAGTCGTTCAAGTGGACTAGTAGATTGACTTTTCATTGGAACTCCGTTCCGCTTTTATTTGCATCCTCTATCCCAGCCTTTGCTTAGGGCAGGAGGTTTCCTCAGGTTCACCTCCACTAATTTGTGCCAGTTTCAGAAGATAACTGAAAGAGGTTGAATTTCGAGATGGGTTGCTTGGCTTTTGTCAAGTTTGCATTGATACGCTTTGATGCTCTTGCATGGTATTTTTTAATTTTTTTTTTTCCTTTTTTAACATGCAAAAAGATTTTGTCTTTTCTTTTTATTTTGCATTTTATTGCTCTTAGGAAGTTGATCAGTTCTAGATGTTTTATTTTTAAGTACATTATTATTATTATTATTATTGTTTTGATGAACATTTTTCATTTATGTGGTGATCATGGTGTCTTTTTTCTCATATATTTTCTGTTGTTGGCAGGCCTCTTTTTGCTTTGGGTTATCCTCTGTAAGTCTCTCTTATCATATTTTATAAAAATATTTAGGAATTTGCTTTTTGTTTTTCTACTTTCATTCCTGTAACTTTACTCTTTTATCATTTCATATTGGTGATATTATAGCTTAATGATCATTTATACAACATAACTGGGGGGTTTCATTGTGAGATGGATGATGATGTTTCTTTGTTCTTAACAGAAGAGCTTCCATTCAGGCAATTGAGGCTGATTCGAGCTCTGACTGCAAGAAATTGGTTACCTACTGGGTTATCTTTTCATTGATTTCCCTATTTGAGCATGCTTTCATGGGGCTGCTTCAATGGTAATCTCGCTACTCAGCAATGCTTATAAGTCTGTTTCGTGTTCCTAAAATGTTTCCTTAGCACACAGAAAAGAAAAAAGAAATCAAGGAAAAATGTTGAAAGTAACTTTTGGGATACATTTAATGGACTTATTTTCTATCCCCATTCTCTACATGCCAATTGCCAGGCTACCATTCTGGCCATACATGAAGCTAACCCTCGTCGGCTGGTTGATGATACCTCGCTTTGATGGTGCTTTATATGTCTATGACAACTTTGTTCACCCATGTGTCTATGTGGACATGCAAACTATCATTAACTGGTTCAAGAAGCAGCAGGAGTTCTTTCTGAACGACAATTTTCTTGCTGAGGCAGATAAATATGTGAAGGCAAATGGACCCGAAGCTTTGGAGAAACTTATTGCTACCGAGGTATGCTATATATGATATAGGATACGATTAGATATTTTGGCTTGTCACTGATGGGGTTTATTCTTTGTAAATGGATGTTTCGTTTTCTCAATCAACTAATTGGAATTTATATCAGTTTCTCTGAGGAAGCTGACAAAATACCGGCATTCTCAGGGCATGCTTGCTTCTTATCAAAAGGCAATGAGCAGTGATTGGAATTGCATGATGGTCTTTACAAATTTTTCTAGATAAAACAACATAAATATCTAATGACTATGGAAGAAGAGGTTGTTATAGTGTAAAATTACAAGTTTATAAATCTTCCTAAGATCTAATCCTTCTGCTTCGCAATGTAGTCAAAGGGCAGAGAGCCTAGCAAGCTGCAGAGAGAAATAAAACCTGCACAAGTAACAGAGGAAAAGGAAACTGCTGCAGTGGACCTGGTAAAGTTTTATTCTGATTTTCGGTTTGAGTTAAATCATGATGTACAACTTTTCTGAAGGGAAAGCAAAATTTTTGATAACATGAAAATAGGAATGTGTATGACTTCTCATTTCCTTTTTGAAACTTGAGTATGAGTTTTATGCCGCTCCTAATAGATCATAAAGGATAAAATAATAATCGTTATCTTTGATTGCTAATTCAACAGTTTTTTCAGATTCCTGAAACAGAGCCCAGCGCTGCTCAGACACAGTTCAAGATGTCGGCAGCTGCCCGTTCGGAGATAAAGGAAGCAACATGTTGGGATCTTCCTGAGATACCTTCAGATAAGCAAGTTCAGAAGGAGTGGACCTGTGCCATGTGTCAAGTAACAACCTCCTGTGAGAAAAACTTGAACATGCATCTCCAAGGAAGACGACACAGGGCTGCTTGTGAGGAGCTAATGAAGGCAAAGAACCAGCCTTCCAAAGGCAAGGTTGCTCCTGCTTCAGCGGTTAAGGACTCCAAAAAGGAACCTGAGAAACTTGCTTCCAGCAGTAGTACTCAGGCCAGCCAAAAGATGCAGCAACCTTCCAACGGCCAAGTCTCTGCTGCTTCAGTGGCTAAGAACTCTGATCTTCCCAAAAATGAACCTGAGAAATGTGCAACCAGCAATAGTACACCCACATGCAGCAAAGCCGTGAATCCTAAAACAGGGATAAGCAATGGAAGCAAACCTGATCTGCCCAAAGAGGAACCAAAGAACTCGTTACCAAAAAATAAGGCAGGAAATCAACAAAAATCAAGAGAAAAGGTACAAGGCCAGCAACAGAGTGGGAAGAAACATGCTGAGATTAATAATCCTCAATTTCGGTGCACCATCTGTAACGTAACCTGCAGTCGTTCAGAGGACTTGAACTGTCACCTCTGGGGAAGGAAGCACTTGGCCCGGATTCAAGAACTGAATAGACTTGGACAAAGCGAGCTTGCTTGAGTTGGATAGTTTCTGCAATTGATGCTGAAATCTTCGCAGATGTAAAGGTTGAGAAAACTAAGAAAAATGAACATGATTTATCTATCTAAGGAGTTTTTCTTCATCCCAGGGGGTTCTTAGTTTTTCAGCATGTAATGGGGAAAATTATCATATCTAAAGGATCACTTGCGTTATATATTCTTACATTTCCATATGATTTGATGTTCTTCAGCAATTTTACTGAAGCAGCAAGGAGCAAAGGTCAGAGAAAGACCAGAATTACTGGGTCAAGAAAGTTTTGAAGGTTAGCTTGATAAGGTATAGTTTCAAGTTTTCTTGTCACCCATATCATCCTTCTGCCATCTAATTGATCCGATTCTTCACATTTTGCGAATAATTAATTAATCATGCTAATAACATAATAAACAAATTAGTCTCAAGACATTAAATCGTCCACGATGTTAGACCATGAAGTATAAATCTCCATTGTTCAATGTGAAAGACTGCTGCTGTTTGCAACAATATGCAGGGTTGCAAAATGATGTCTCCTATGAAAAAGAGATGCATCTTTCAGGTAAGTTGGAAATGGAAGAAAGTAAAGCATAAAGGATGAGCAGTTTGAATCTGACGCTTCAGTTTCATACTGTGGCACCATACTTTGCCACACAGCTACAATGCTATGAAGCAAGCCATTTCTTATGGAGTGATTCGGTGCCCAGCTAGCGCTGAGACTTCCAGTGGAACATCCATGGTGAACCAACTAAACCACGCTTGGGAGTGTCAAGCACCATTGAGTTTTCCAACAGAGTAGGCCTCACTTCTCAGCAAAATACTATTGCTTAGTAGAAAGTTCTAAACTTTTCAACTTCAACACGAAGAAAATCGTATGTAAATGATCTTTTTTTCCACCTAAAATTAAAAACATTTTTCTAATTTGTTTCTGCCTTTTTCCCGTCTTATTTACTTGACAATTGGTAGGGAACCAGTTAAAAGATACAAAGTAGGAAAGACCTTGACATTAGTTTATGGCAGAGTACATACTACTGCTGAAAGAACAACATTGTCACATTGAATTACAACTTCTGTGATGTTGGCATTGCTAAGGAAACTCCACTGCTGCTTGGTAAATCCTTCCATTGTTGTGTCACTGTTTTGATCTGGGTGTAAAAATTAACTCCAGCCTTGCCTGCAATTGAGGAAAAGCTTCCAACTCAGAAAGTCATATATGAAAATGGGGGATATTGGTGGATGGCAAGATGAAGAACCATGTTAAGTGATAATGCATATTACCGTAAAAATTAAGATCGCCTGCAAAAGATGCCTTAGAGCCAGTAAATGAGAAAAACGGCAAGGGAACTGGTATGGGAACATTGATGCCAACCTATGCAAGCAAAACATGTTACTGATAAAAAAATCACCTAGCAGTAATCGTGTCCAACGTACTTATAAAGGTTTTGCAATTGCAGCTCTGAGCAATTCTCAATATATCCTACTATAATTCATCCACAGTTTTACCTGCCCAGCCTCAATCTCTGTCTGGAATTTCCTCGCAGCCGCACCAGATGTAGTGAATATAGAAGCACCATTGCCATACCTGATACAGCGAGCAACTCACACGTAAAACAAACATAAATATATAACTTAGGTGGAGCAAAAGAGAGAGAGGCTGGAATTGAGGATATACTTGTTTCGATTAACAATGTTTATAGCCTCTTCCAAGCTGTCAGCCTGAATGTTTAGCGTGAAAGAAGAGCAGTTAAAAGTTCGCAATTCTAACCAATAAGAAATTTGATTAGTTTAGAAACAGGAAGGCAAGTAACTCACCTTCATGCAAATGAGAACTGGGCCAAAGATTTCCTCCTGCAGAGCCCAAAATAGAGTAGTGAGGTATTTTCTATCAAGGTTCAAGAGTCACTTCATCTACTAGATCCTAGTATTTTCCAGATTACAGTCTAAAATAATGTATCACAAGTCATAAACAAAAACTACTACCTTATAGCACTCCATGTCAGCTGTGACACCAGATAAAATTGTGGGACCAATAAAATTGCCTTGCTCATATCCTGGAACCTATTTTGTCACGCATAAATAGTTAATATCAGTTTTCTGTTGAAAAGTTTGAAAATCTAGTTGGTAACAGGAAAACAAGGACCCAATCAAGGACCATACTAATCCACTTCAGAGAGCTATCATCAAACCAACCAGAAAAGAAGATGGAGGAGGGGGGTTACAGAGGAGGAGGGAGCTTAGGTAGACCAACAAAATCATTTGGATTGTAGTAATAATTCATTCCTTCCGGATCATATTATATGCTGCAAAATTTACTTCAATCTCAACCGCCAATATGCCCAAGACAAATAGATTTTTAAGTGGTTCCAAACTTTCCAACGATTTTATGCTCTTTCACTATATGATGCAATAAAACAATCCAATTAATGAATATGGTAGAACATTAAAATATAGTAAATACCACTATATTTCGCCCATCAAGCAGTAGTTTGGCACCACTCTCAACCCCAGATTGAATTAATCTGCATATTCGTTCCTTAGCCTGTGAATTCAAAAGAATTCAAATTAAAAATAAAGACATCGAGGATCCAAACAGATGGGATGAATTAATCAGAAGCATTAAAAGGGGCATCATTAGTTATAGAATATGAGGTAGTTAGCCTCCATCCCCCAAGGTGGGTCCATTTGGCTGAGGCTACCACCTTTTTGCTTGGAGGCCTAGCTCCAAGTCCCATTACACAGCCCTGCAATTGACCTGACACCTTCATAAGGGTAGGCCTAGGATAAATAATAGATTGTACCCAGTCCTCCCAGAGAATGGATCAATGGGCAGGCATTTCAAATTTTCAAGAAAAGAAACTAAGAATTGTTTTTACTATCTTTATCATGAGCATTGGTAGCATGCTAGCAGTGGTATGGACAAGGTGGAAGATTATTTTAAATATGTATACCTGTTTGCTAATTACTGGACCAAGGTCTGCCTCAGGGTCTGTTCCAGCATTCACTTTAAGTGCTTTAGCACGTTCTATAAGTTCTTTCTCCCTGGAAAAGGTCAAAACTGATCCCTCTTAATCATAGGTTCACAAGATATCAATTAGACAGAGGAGGAAAAACACAATACCATGATTCTGAGTCACCAACAAAGACTATTGTACTAAGTGCCATGCACCTTTGTCCAGCTGCACCAAAACCAGCACCAACTAGAGCATTTAAAGTAGCATCTTTGTTTGCGTCAGGCATTACAATGCCATGATTTTTGGCCCCCATGTTGGACTGAGCAGAATAGTTAATCAGGTAGAAACTTTAGTTTACTTCAGAAGTCATAGAAGTTGTTAGGCATCCAACTTAAAAGAAATTGGCAAAAGGTGGAGAGAACCAACCTAAAATAAAAGGACATAGCAAACTTTAAACTTGAAGATGTGAGATAGAACCACTTAACAGAAGAGACCTTACAACTAACAGATAAATTGCATATCGATTACCAAAAATGTAAATTAACTGCACTAACCTGAACACGTTTTCCTTTAGCAGAAGCTCTTCCATATATGTGCATGCCAGCCTTTGAAAATATAAATAAGAGCATCAAGTTAGAATATAGCCAAAGATATTGGACCTCTTTGCAAAACATCTATGAACCTTTAATGGAACACAATAAGAAGTTTAGGACAGAAACTATATTTCATAGCCAGTCATATCACAACAGAAATAGTTTTCCTACAAAGCACAAACATAAAAATTAGGCAGAGGCAGATGTATGGTGCTGAACAAAATAAAAACCTCAAAAGAACAAAAACTAGGGAGATCAGTAGAGAGAGAGAGATTGACAGGCTGTAACTCCCAATATTATAAGGTCCTTTCTTAGAAAAAACGAAAACAATAATAAAGGACGAGAGGCTGAACCCCAAGACTACTTAATTGAAGACATCCAAAAATGGTCAAGGAGAGAAGCCAAGAAATGTAAACAGATAAAACGAAAAAAAAATAAGGGTTTTCAAATTATGTACTGCATTGGCCAAAGAAACTTTGGTCTTTGACAAAGTTGTGGATTACCAATTTAAAGATTTATATAATCAGGTTAATACCACTGATATTAGCAGCAAAAACCAAGATAATTATCAGGTAAACTATATTCCCAACTGATTATGAAAGCTGAGAAGAAAGAACACATAAATAGCCATCTATGTGCTTTGGAAACAAGAGGCGTACTCACAGTATTTGAACCAACAAATGATACAGCTCTGATATCATCATCATCGCAAATAGCATTAACAATGTCCTGCCACAACAACATATCAGGATATATTTAATAGTATTAATTCACTGACACTGCAAATAGATGTATTTATTAGAAAAGGTGAAAGAAGACAGTGGAACTCATAGAATCATGTTGCTGAAGAACATACATTGGTGCCATGAACAATATTTAGGACACCATGAGGCAAACCAGCTTCCATTGCTAATTCAGCCAGCATTATAGATGCCCCTGGAAAAGTATAAAAATAAAATTTTAAAAAAAAGTGATAGATAGGGAAAACAAGAAGAGGTCATGTAAGAACAAGGGAATGAAAACCAAGTTGTCTTTTCCATGCTCAATGAAAAATAAGGTACTAAACAATAGTAATTATGAGGAAAACTCAACCTACAATGAGGAAAACAATGCTCCAAAAACTAACACATCAAGGCACAATGAGGAAAACAATGCTCCCAGATTCTACATCATAACATTTAGAAGGTTGCACTCACCAGGATCCTTTTCCGATGGCTTTAAAATAAAGGTATTACCACATGTAACTGCAACAGGGAACATCTGCAGTAAATCATAAAAATAGGTAACTTTTGCTCTTGGAGGCTTAAAAAATTGGGTTTTACTACCAAAACTTGGTAGAAACAACAAAAACTATAGTTAACTGACTATAGAATCAATATTAACAAATCTAAAACCCAAACTGTATGAGTTCCTGAAATTAGAAATTTAGTTAGATTGCACTGCTGATTATGAGCAATTTGAAGTTCATAAGCCTGCAATTTGATAAGGGGACAAACCACATTAAGAAACAAATACAAGTTAATCTAGCAAATTTACCTTAACCCTCAAGCCCTTGCAACAATTAGCAGAGGATGCTAGTGATATGCAAGCATCCCAATACACAATTAGGACACTGTGAAAGGGCTAAAAGGAAGACTTACCCATAAAGGAATCATTGCTGGAAAGTTGAAGGGACAAATCCCTGCACAAACGCCAAGTGGCTCTCTAACACTGTACGTATCAATTCCACTAGATACATTGGGGACATACTCGCCCATTTGCAGAGTTGCCATTCCACAAGAATGTTCCACCACCTCTATATTAAAAAGCCCAGAAATAAAAATGAAAAAGGAAAAATATATTAATCTTTATAATTGAGAAGGTTGAGATTTTTGCAATCAACTCATATTTAATATATTGAAGAATATAGACACCAACCAAGCCCCCGGAAGACATCTCCACGAGCATCCGTCAATGTCTTGCCCTGTTCAGTTGTAATATTCTTTGCAAGTTTATCCTTAAGAAATCAAAGATTAAATAAAATCATTAGCTAAACGCCTCAGTTTAAAAATTTACTATACAAATAAAAACCTGAATTAATCCCACGCTTACCATGTCCCTCCGAATAAGCTCTTGGAGTTTGAACATGATACGCTGACGAGTTGTAACTGGGGTATTGCGCCATGATGGGAAAGCTTGCTTTGCTGCAGCCACTGCAGCTTTAAACTCTTCATTTGTAGTTAAAGGAACTTGTGAAACAACTTCTTGTGTTGCCTTTTTATTCAAAATAACAAATATTTCCAATTAATCCCATAAACATTCAGATTTGAATACACACACACACATATGAAGATGATAAGACACTCACAGGGTTTAAAACGTCAATAGTTGCTGTAGATTTTGAATCAACAAAAGCACCTCCAATAAGATTAGGAACCCTCTGTACAAATACAATCAATCAATAAAAGTGAGAAGAATAAAAAGTCAGTTTTTAGATTCAATAAATACCAACCCAAAAGTCTTCTTTTAGTTGCATCAAAATGATTAATTTTGCTCTTTTTTTTCTTTTAAGTTCATGAGGATATGCATAAAATTGCATAAAACGACAAGCAAAGACACCTTACCGGAGGATTACGGTGATTGAAAGAGGGTTCAGTCGCAGTAGAGAAACGAGAGGTCGCAGAAGCCAAAACCTCAGGCCTTAAAGCCCTTAAGTTCTTCACTGCAACAGAGAAACCGCGAAAGAATCAAAACCAAACAAGGTAATGAAAACCCATTTTTTTAAAATAGGTTTTGTTTTAACTTTCTGTTTACCTCTTTGAAGGGAGAATCGCATCAACATTTTCTTTTCCTTCGTGAGATGAGTTCACTGAATTTGATGATGGCGTCCTTCCGGAGCAGCCCGCAGTAATTGTATAAAGTCAATACACTCTGACAAAAGTTGATATCATCCTTTGGAATTCGGGCATGTTAAGATTGCCACGATATGAAAGCAATAATTTCTTGATTTGTTTGGTTGCTTGCTTCAGTATCAGATCAGTTCAAGGCAGCCAAATAAATTTAAAAAGGACAACGCTCATTCTAATATTTAAAGCAAATATTGACAAAATTAATTAAAAAAAAAACAAAACGTGATATTTTGGTAAGAGGATAATAATCGATAACATTTATTTACTAATATTTTAGTAAGAAACGTATGAGAAGGAATCTTGTTTGTTTCATTGTTTATGATAAATGATAAAGTTAAAATAATGAAATTACCAACACAGACTGACACGTCGCCTACGTACTTGTCATAATCAAAACATGTGCGCCAACACATCATTCACCTTATCTTTCATCCTTTTTTTCTGATTTTTTTAAATATTTTTAAAAAATTAATTACCTAACCACCGTTATGAAATATAAATTAAAAAAATAATTATTAAAAAAATTAAAAAGAGTAACAACATTTTATTTAAGTGTGTTTACAAATAAAGTGAATGACTAATTTATTAGTTAATAATTATTTCTTTAAATGTTCATTGTATTAAAAATATGCCTAGTTAAACTTTATAAAAAAAATTTCATAAAAAAACTCAATAAAAAAATATATATATATACTTCTTTTCAATAATATACTTTTAAAATACTACATCACTAAAAATTTTATAAAAAAAAATCAAATGGCAAAAATATGGATGATCGAAAAAATTATATAATGAGAAGGAATCTTGTTTGTTTCATTGTTTATAATAAATGATAAAGGTAGAATAATGAAATTGTCAACGCAGACTGGCGCGTCGCCTACTTACTTGCCATAATCAAATCATGTGCGCTAACACGTCATTCACCTAATCTTTCATCCTTTTTTTCCGATTTTTTAAATTTTTATAAAAATTAATTATCTAACAATTGTTATGAAATATAAATTAAAAAAAATAATTATTAAAAAATATTTAAAAATAGTAACAACGTCCTATTTGAGAAAGTATGTTTACAAATGAAGTGAATGATCTATTTCTTGGTTAATAATCATTTTCTTAAATGTTTATTGTATTAAAAATATGTTTAGTTAAAATTTTATTAGAAAAAAACTTATAAAAAATTTTAATAAAAAAAGAAAAAGTATATAATTTTTTTCAAAAATATAATTTTAAAATACTACCTCATTAAAAACTTTATAAAAAAAATTTAGTAAGAAAAATTTGGATGAACGAAAAGAGTATAGTACGTATTTTACTTTTGCTTATAACTACATTATGTAAGATATTTAAAATGACACATTTTAATATTTTGTATCAACTTTTCAAATATTGCAACAGAAAAAGCTTTGTTGAATAAATCTGCTACATTGTCACCTAAACGAATTTGTTAAATACTAATATCATGTTTTTCTTAGACATCATGAGTGAAGAAGATTTTAACAAAATATATTTTGTTTTATAACTTTTAATGTATCATTCCCTTAACTATACTATGCAAGCAATATTATCTTTATATAATATTATTGAAATTTTTTTCTTGAATGACAATCTACACGTTTCTCGAATATGTTGAGTTATATATCTTAATCAGACACATTTACGACTTCTCTAATGAATTGTTAAAATTTTTGCATGATTAAAAGAAGTAGCAACTATAATTTGTTTTAAAGAACATCATGAAATGATCGTACCTTTATACGTGAATAAATAACTTGTCTAAGATCGCACTTTGTGTAGATCAGATAAATATCCTGTATCTGCATAACTAATTAAATTTGATTTTGATACATTTGAGTAATACACACCCTTATCCATTATTCCTTAAAGATATCGAAGTAAATGTTTATTTTCATTCCAATGTCATTGAGTTGAAGAAGAATCATATTTTATTAATAAATTTATAACAAATGATATGTCAGATCGTATATTGCTAGCAAGATAAATTAGTGTTCCGATTGCATTAAGATGTAGTACTTTAAGATTAAAAAGTTTTTTATTATCCTTACGAGGTCAAAAAATGTCATTTTTCATATATAGTAACTTAACAATCATTGATAAACTCAATAGATTTGCTTTGTCAATATAGAATCATTTTAGCACTTTTGCTATATAATTTGATTGATGGATAAAAATTTTATTTGTCAAGTATTCAATCTGAAGACTCAAACAAAACTTCATTTTTCAAAATCTTTTATCTCAAATTCTCTTTTTAAATAATCTCTGACTTTTTATAAACATCAATTTTATTCTTTAAGTAATTTTGTTTTAGAATTCTTCAACAGTTCTAACAATGTTTAGGTTATTAATATAAACAACAATTATCACAAATTAAGATCCAAATTTTTTTATAAAAATATTTGGGCATATAGGATTATTTTTATAATTTTCTTTTAACAAATATTCACTATAACGATTATACCACATATATCTAAATTGTTTTAATTTATATACATATTTATTTAATTTGATCGAATAAATTTTTTAAAAATTGTGTACTTTTGGCAACTTAAATCTTTTAAAAATTTTCATATAAATATTGATATCAAGTAAGTCATATAAATAGGCTCTAACTACATTCATTAAAGGCATTTCAATCTTCTTATATATTACTAGATTAATTAAATATAGAAATGTAATAGCATCCATCATAAGAGAATATGTTTTTTCATAATTAATATTGGGTGTTTAGGTAAAATATTGTGCGACAAGCCATGTTTTATATATAACAATATTATTTTTTTCATTTCATTTTCATCCAAATACTCATTTAGATCTCATTGGCATTACAACATTTGTTGTATGTACTATATAAGTCTAAAAATTTCACATTTTACAAGTGAAGTGAATTCCACTTTGATTATATCTTTCCACATTAACTAATCATTTCTATATTTATAATTTTCAATAGATGTAGGTTTAAGATCTTCATTCGTTTTTTTTTTAATATTAAGCAATTTATTATGTGTAAAAATATCGTTGACATTTATTTTATTCTGTTTCATTTTTTATCATCATGACTTAATTTATTAAAATATCTTCATTTTCAATAATTTAAAATACCTGTATTTGTTTTGAAATTTTAGCAATTATGTCAAAAACCTCTTCCAAAGTTTCTATTCCCTCTTTCTAACCATCTTGTATATTTGTTCATTTTCTTTTTCAAAGAGTTTATCTTTAGAATCGATTGATTTTTCATACTTTTGGCATGTCTTGTTTTACAGGGACATCAATTCTAATATGAGTAATTGCTATTAGTATATGAGATTTAATTATTCTTTTTAGGTCAATAATACGTATAACAACTGATTAATTATATTTTACAAATGAATTATCTTTTGAATTTCAAATTCACATTAATTTGTGTGAGGATCAAAACTAAATAATAATAATGCATTCAAAAAAATTTATTTTTCTAGTTGCTTATTTTTCCCCCTAATGTTAAAATATCTATTTCATTAAAATGATAATCAACAAATTTATCGTGAATAAATATTTTGTTAATGGTTCTAGATGTTTAATTTTAGATGGATATTTGCATCCAACATATGTTCTTCATCTCTTTTGAAGATTCATTTTTGTGTATTGTAGTGAAGCAATTGAGACATGTAGTGCATATCTAAAAATTTTAGATAGTAAATATTTGATTCCTGATCATAAACTAATTATATAAAGGAGAATTTATGATAACTCATTAGTGTGATGCGTACAATTACTGCTACATGCAAAATGGCATGCCTTCAAGCAAAAATGGAAAGTTTAGTTTTTATAAACAATGGCTTTGTAATTAGTTGAAAGTGTTTAATAAACAATTCTACTGGACCATTTTGTATATGAACATAAGCAATAAGTTATTCAATAGTTATTTCAAGTAATATACAATATTCACTAAAGGCTTGAGATGTAAATTCACCAGTATTGTCAAGATAAATAGTTTTGATTGTCTAATTAGGAAAATGTGCTCACAAATGAATGATTTAGACAAATAATCTTGTAAATGACAAATTGCAAGGTAATAATAAGGCCACATATGAGCATTTGATTGATGTATCGATTAAAATCATAAAACATCGAGATAATCCACATGGTGAATGTATGGGTCCACATATATCATCTTAAATATATTTAAAAAATGTAAGAGATCAGTCCCAAGTTTAGCTAATGATAGTTTTACAGTTAATTTGACTTGAGAGCAAACAACACCTGAGAATTCATCATATTGAAAAATTTTATAGTTTTTCAATGAATGATCACATGAATTTTTAATAATTTTTTATTTTATTATTGATTCGAGATGACCTAACTGATTAATGCTAAATAATTAAATCATTAGAAAAGCTTCTGATTTACTATAGCATAAATTTCTATCATTCTAATATTTGTGTAGTACAATCTAAATGAATATTCATATTTTTCTTCAATAAAATAAGATATATATATATATAGTAAGAAACTTACAAATTAATATAAGACAACATTAGATATATAATTTACAATTAAAACACATAATAAAAACGTATCATTTAAATATAATGAGAATATATAAAACATCTTTATGATAAAATTATATTAAAATATATTAACAAATTATTAAGAAATTTTATTCTCATATATTTTAATCACCAATCACATTGGACAAGAAAAACAACATTTAAATATATTATATTCACTTGACTACGATTAAAATAATCTTGAACAAAATTTATTTCAATATTTTTTTCTTTTAACTTCCAGCAATGTTTAATCAACGTTTTTCATGCTATATTAATAACAGATATTTTTTTATTCTTTTTATTTTATCCATTTGTCTCGTTTTCTTTTATCTTTTCACTACTCATCTACTTCTAATGCTTATCCACTTGTGATAGGTAAATGTATCTATCTACTTTTTGTAAATAAAAGTATTCATCTACTTTTTTATGAATAAAAGTGTCTATCCATTTCTTATAGTTAAAAGTATTCATCTATAATCTAGTTTTGATAAATAAAAATATTTCTTAACTTCGTAATTAATATAAACACCGTAAACCATAATTATTAAATCATGATTATGACTTCTTCCACGTCTATGACTATAAGTATTAAAATATTCACATTTTTTTTATAACTTCTTTCACATCTATGATCATAATTATTAAATTATATTGTATTCACTCTAAGAAATAAACAAAGTTTTTTTGACACTTGAAATGATGAAAATTAAATAATATCAAAATTTTAAAAATTAAAAAATCATGCTGATAACATGTTACAAAATATAATTTGAATGAACGACTATGAGAGAGTATTAAGAGGGAGTAATAATATGTTATTTGAGAGTGTTTACAAATGAAATTAGAGATCTACTTATAGACTAATAACTTCTTATCTAGATCAAATTTATAAAATAATAATACTTGAAAGATTTAATTTGGATAAATTAAATCTTAATCTAATTCAATTTAGTTTACATTTAAATTTAAATATATATAATCAAATATAAAAATTTACATCAAATTACTCTTATGGGTCAGACCTGCTGAGTATTTAAACTATCTCAATTGCTCGACTTAATCTTAACACTTCAATCGTAACATAATATATATTCACACATATTCATAACAACTTTTTAAGTAATAGACATGTCTCCTTAATCTTGACTTCACAAACTTTAGCAGACTATCTGTTTCATTGTTTATCAATAGATCAAAGAACATACAAGCTAATCAAATACTAGTAGAAACAAAACAATTCAATTAAATCAAACATTGCTTTTGGTTCATCTACTCAATGCTTATTTCCTTTTGACAAATTCAAGTTTGTACAGCCACTTATCTATTATTGATAATTAATATTAAAGCAAAATGGGGCAATTCAATTTCCATTTTATCATCTTCATGACAGCAGAAATCAATAAAAAATTAATAACAAAGAAAATGCAATTAAGCTAAGGGACAGGACTAGGAGTAATACAAATTGCGATCTTATTTCTTTATTAACACAACTAGGGATTATAAGGGGAAAAAGTTAAAATAATATGGTGTTAGTCTATTATGAACTCTACGAACTTGGCACTTGCAAAGTTGCTATATCACTGCCTTCTGGATCCTTCCATTGTTGAGTAACTGTTTTAATCTGGGTGTAGAACTGAATTCCTGCCTTGCCTGAAGTTCACATGATAACACACTAGTTTATAAACTTCGATAATTTATATCACCTGATCAATTCTAGTTGGGAAAGGCATATGAAATGTAATAAACTTCTGAAAGGGATCTACGCATATATACCATCAAAATTAAGATCACCAGCAATGTACGGCTTGGAGCTGATAAACGAAGAAAAGGGCAGTGGGACTGAGATTGGAACATTGACGCCAACCTGATTCAAAAACCCCATTAGAAAATCAACACATTTCCATATCAGGCAGCAAAATCATAGGGGCTGGGGCTGGGGCTGGGGCTGGGGCTAGTCAATTTCAGAAATGAATAAAACATTATGTTAAACTGAAATAGAATTTTCAAGCAAAAAATGGAATATCAGTTTCAACAATGGGCAAATGGGAACAATTGACAGGATCAACATAACAAACAAGCACAATTAAATAAATTAGGCCTTCTTCATGCTGTCAATGTATCAGAGGGAAACACTGCAAGGAGCTGCATTACCTGCCCGACATCAACCTCTGTTTGAAATTTCCTTGCCGCTATACCTGATGTAGTGAATATAGAAGCTCCATTGCCATATCTGCAAGAGTAAGATGTATAAGGCAAAATATTAAGCCGCAAGCGTTAGGAAGACAATGGAGTCCAGGGAAGTTGGAATTGGCATTACTTATTCCTGTTAACGATATCTATAGCCTCTTCTATGCTATCAGCCTGAGAAACAATATAATACACATGTTAGCATGTTTTTAAGAACACAACAAACTTCCAATTGGAGAATTAGACAAATAGAAAAAGTCCAAAAAGTAGCAAACCTCCATACACAGGAGAACTGGGCCAGAAATTTCATCCTGTATAAACCAAGAAATTGTGTCATTGAGTACTTTGATTGGTTCTAGAGTTTGAGGCTCTACTTCCATGAGAGCAACCATATCTTACAAAAGAACCATCTTTTGTGAGGAATGCAATATACCTTGTAACATTCCATGCTGACCTTGACATCAGATAAGATTGTGGGGCCAATGAAGTTCCCATGCTCATACCCAGGAACCTACACCCACTCAAAAGGTAACCATATGAATGAGGGTTGCTTGAACACTTTCTCAAACTTCAAAGTAAAACTGCATTTCAATATATGCTCCTCAAAACCAAAATCACCATAAACACACTATGTTGAGGGTGTGCCGTGTGGCATGTTTCTCAGTAGATTCCAGTGTGTTATTTACCGAGACAACTGACATTGGCAGTATCTGTGGCCATTCTTTTGTCGCATAATTTCACACACTTCAGAGGTAAAACATTCTAAGAAAAAATATGAGACTCCAGGATGGCAATTTTAATGAGTTAACATTTCATCCTCTGATGTTCAGTTTTTACAACTTGATTGTAACTTTGACCGGTTGTAGGTGCAAAGACATCCAACTTCAGCCATGGTGATGTCAAGAACTATTATTCAGAACAAATTTTGACACACGTGCAGACATGAGATGGAAGGGAGGAATGCCCTAATTTATTTTTTCCAATGGAATGGCCAGGGTCTTAAGCCAGGTGACTACATTGAACTGCAACTAAATGCTGCTTTCTTACGTTAAGTACTTGGGGAAAGGGGCAGGGGAGGGGGGTTAGTAGCAAAGAAGAAGGCTACCTTCCCTTGTGTACCAAGGCTTGATGGGTCTCCTAACAAAATGAAAAAATAAAACTTTGATGATCCCATTGACACCTTTCATAATATCCCTAATAGCCATAGTCCAAACTCCAAAACAAGCAGGCTATCTGTCTTTAGTTATTTGAACTCTGTGTCATGAATAACATCTTATAAATACAAGAAAGCACCAGAAAACTTCAACCAATAGGATCATTGATATCAAGGACAGAATATTTTCTTTTTCAATGAAAGCTACTGAGCCAAGAAAAAAATAAGTAATAATTAATTTAAGCAGATCATAAATTAATAGATAGAACTCATAATCAAATAAAGTACCACAATATTTCTCCCATCAACTACTAGTTTTGCACCACTTTCAACACTTGATTGGATCAATCTACATAGGAGTTCCTTTGCCTGCCAACCATTACAACTGTTAAAAGAATGTGATTTCATAATTGAGAAGGACGGGCAAAAAAACATGGGGTTTAACAAGCAAGCCTTACATGCATCCTAACAAAAAATTTGTAAATTGTATCACCTCAGACAGCATAAAATATACCAAGGAATTGACTTCCAATTCACCATCCCAATTTAGTGTAGATTATGAATAATTTAGTAGACTCTGAATCATCCTGTACCTGCTTGCTAATCAGTGGACCAAGGTCTGTATCAGGTTTTGTTCCAGGTTGTACCTTAAGTGCTTTGGCACGCTCCACCAGTTTATCTTCCCTAGCAAAAGTTCATGCAAACATCTGAAGTCAATCACACAAATCCAAGTAACATCAATTTAACAAGGAAGAAAGAACAACAAGGGAAGGGAGATAGGTTGACAGTTCTGAAAAAAATGAAAATGACATGTGAAAGGAACGTTTAAATGCTTCTTTTCTTGATAAATCTATAACTCTTGCCCAATGGAAAGCTCCTGCTATAGCTTTCAGCCAACCATGAAACCACATTAGCCTGAATGAGATTTAAACTTTAAACACAGGGGCCAATTAAGTAATTTCAGCATTTCCAATTACAGAACTTGAATCACTTACTCCAAGCATACTTTACTCAGGGCCGTCAGAAGTAGGATTCTTGGCTGTGGATACTAGAAAATACAACTCTGAATGGTATAGGCTATTTTCCCTTTTTATTAGAGAACAGCCTAAATTAGTTTTAGAATGAGGTCTCTTATGAAAATTAAAAGATCACGTCCACATTAATACTCAGTATAGAGCAGAATTAAGGACTGGGTCTTTTCAGATTAAAAGCAATAATTTACATATGAGGAAAAAGAAAAAACCCCGACATACATGACCATATATTCACTCATCAATAAAAACTGGTTATATGAGCAATGGCCTATGTGACAAATAAATGAAATAAACAGAAATATGAAAGATTGAAAACCTCCACTTGCTATGATTATGAGTTAACTTACAAATGTGAAAGAATATAAGGCCACTGATGATGCAATAATCAAATCCATAACAATCAGATAACATATTGGGAGATATATATTAAGAGCAACTACGAGATACAACTCAATGTGGCTCATTCCAGGGAAAGAATTAACTCAATCATAAATCAATAGCTGTATGAAAATGCTGCATAAGACCCATAAACTAAAATCAACAACAATATTTCAACAAAAACTGACTAAATGATACAAATATGAGCAAAAGAAAACAGTGTTACCATGGAGTCATGCCGCCAACAAAAACAACTGTACTGAGTGCCATGCACTTCTGTCCTGCCCCACCAAAGCCAGCTGTAACCAGAGAATTCAGCGTAGTCTCCATGCTTGCATCAGGCATTACAACTGCATGGTTTTTGGCTCCAATATTGCACTAAGGACAACAATCAACCAGCAAAATTTACATGGAACTCAAATTATTGCTAGTACAAGACAGCAACCAGAATTTTTATAGGATAAACAGCAGATTTGTACTGAGTAAAAAAAAAACACAACAGATATGTTTCCAAAACATACCTGAACACGTTTTCCTTTGGCTGAAGCTCTAGAATACACATAAGCACCCACCTTGTAAAAATTAAAAACATGCAAAAAGGTAACATTAGTAAAATATCCTCCGGTAAGTCCCATACTAATACAAAAAGCCAAACGCTCGAGATCAATAATTGTAAACAGAAACTAAGGTAGCAACAGACAAACAACAATGTTTGGTCCTGTCATTACAAGTTAAAAGTCATCTCGTCCTTTCAAAATATGAAAATTGAAGCATGACAAAGCAAAGATAATACCAGAACAGATTTTAATAACATGTTCACGTAAGAGATGTGAGAGAACAATGTTTCAGCAGAAATACTTCCATGATTTTAAACACAAGTTGAAGCATGACTGTTTGACCACTCTATATTGGTATAAAAGTTGCAGCTGTTTACTGTTTTCAGGTGTTTAACTGAGCAGGGCGAGCCGATAATGTGGTTTTTCTACCTTTTCTTTCAGTTATGCTTGTACTGCTGTACTTAGCCTGGTCTTTGATAGGATCCCTACCTTGTTGGGAAAATTAAATATCATTTCACAAAAGCTATGCATGGGTAAATGTGGAGAAAAGCTGTTAGCTTCCCTAGACAAAGCAACTCATTCACATTAGTTGCAACAACTGAAGCATTTCAATCTCCTTCCCAACAAATTCAAAGTCAATGAACCAGGGTTGGTTCCAATTTTGATCGCATCATTTCCAAATATATCTTGGCAGTTTGATTTCCACATTAAATATGGCTGGATTGAGCCTATCACTTTTTCCGTGCTCGCCAACTCTATAAAATAAAACCTGAAAATTTCCATTGTTCTAAACATTAAAACCATTCTTTCATGATCTAACACCCTTTTTTGTCCTTAGGTATTCCAACAAATTCAAAAGACTTCATGTTGCTACTGTTCAGACTGTCCAAAAGCAAAACTTATCTCAGCAAGCAGCCTCTTCAAATTAACACAATCTTTCAACCTACAAATGATACAGAGCTCTGTCTGCTTCACAAATTTACACGTATATCCTCAATCAATTACGTCTAACCTACCATGCACTGTAACAATAATGTCTTAAAAGTAAACAATGATCATAAACGTAAACAGAAAAAGGTAGACCAGCATACCGTGATTGTAAAAGCAACTCAGGACTGAGAAATAACTTACTGTATATGGGCCAACAAAAGATATAGCTTTGATGTCATCATCATCACACATATCATTAATGATTTCCTGTCCAAAACCACAGAAAAACATAACACGACCAGGAAAAAGGAAACAGAAATAAGATATATTGCATACAGTAATAATCAAAATACAAACTTGATTGTGGCAGTGATTAATATGATGGCAAATTTAACATCATAGACCCAAAAGAAAAACAGCTTCTTTTGCAATAATATTAAGCAGAAAAAATTGTAGGTAACAAAATAAGGTCACATGTTTATCCTCTGAATCATTTAATGGAAGGATACTGAGAATGGACAAGAACCAATGAACAACCGTTAAGTCCAAACTCCAAACTTACATTGGTGCCATGAACAATATTCAAAACACCATTAGGCAAACCAGCCTCCACTGCTAGCTCAGCAAGCATCACAGCAGCCCCTGAAAGACCACCAATAACATATCAGTTATACACTGCACATAACTGCCTTATGTAAGCACCAGGAGCCATCAAGTCAGAATTGTTTAACATACAGGCTTTATATTCTCATTTATAAATCTTTAACTAAAGATGTAGAATAGTCCAAATTGCTTGAGTTTAGATTGAGAATAGCTCATTTAAAGGCCCATAAAATTTACTCCTACACTCCAAATGCATTTCACAGCTCATAATGTTTTCAACACCTAAATATGAGGTGGCTGGAAAACCTTTTTCCAAGTTCATAGCAACAAGTCAATTCTTTTTTTTTTTTTTTAATATGGCCATATGTTAATGAGTCAACTAACCATTTAATGCATTCAAACATGCATAGAAGTTTTCTCAAAACAATCCACCATGTGTGAATCAAGACTTTTACCCATGCTTAAATCAAATCACTCCTGCTATATGTGTGACATGTATATCCATAAAAATACATGTTTAACAGCATTCCTTACTTGGCAAGCATGTTTCAGATGTCTGAGATATGATTTTCGTATTATTAGGAAGAAGTTAAAGTTACTACAATTTCATGGTGGTAAATGGCATGAAATAAGTATCACCTGGATCCTTCTCTGATGGCTTCAGTATAAAAGTATTGCCACAAGTAACTGCAATAGATAACATCTGCATGTAGAAAAATTCAGGGAAAAATGAGAGGATTATACCAAAACAAGTAGACTAAAATGTTTTGCATGTAAAACCAAGGGAGGCCAGTGTCCTACTGTTCTTGTAACAGACTAACAAAGCTAAAGAACAAAGCAGACAGCCAATTCTACCATCCAGGTATATCAAATTCTGATCTCAGTTTCACTCTTTTAACACAAGATCATAACTTCTTTTTTTTTGTTTTTTGACAAGCAACACGAGACCATAACTAATACATGTAATCCTATTACTAAGCACCATAATAAGTAAGAAAAGTGATATTAGATAGCCACACTGTGAACTTGGGCTATTAGCAAACTAAACTTACCCATAAGGGAATCATAGCTGGAAAGTCGAAGGGACAAATACCAGCACAAACACCAAGCGGCTCTCTAATGGTATAAGTATCGACCCCATTTGGTACGTTGGAAACAAATTCCCCAGTTTGCAAAGTGGCCAATCCACAAGCATGTTCAACCACCTCTACGAGGGAAAATGAAAGACTTTATAGAGCAAACCATTACCAAAAAGATGCACAGAAAACACTAAATGAGAAAGAAAAATATAAAATACCCAAAAAGAAAAAAAAGATGCTGACCTATTCCACTCAAGACATCACCATATGCATCCTTCAATGCCTTCCCATGTTCATTGGTAATGTTCATAGCAAGCTTATCCTAAGGCACCAGTAGTGATTATTCCCATCAATAAAAGATTTATATTAATCAAGAATAGAACAATAGGATTCTAGAGATTTACAATGTCTCTCTGAATGAGCTCTTGAAACTTGAACATTATACGCTGTCGGCTGGTAATGGGAGTGTTACGCCATGATGGAAAAGCCCGTTTAGCTGCAAATACCGCAGCTCTGAACTCCTCATTTGTAGTCATAGGAACTTGAGAAACCACTTCCTGTGTTGCCTATAAAATATTGTAATTTTATTATAAAAAGGAAAATTCAATCATCGACTGCTGACTTGATAGTCATGAGTAACCAAAACAGAAATTTTTAAGGTGATACTCACAGGGTTTATAACATCAATAGATGCAAATGACTGTGAATCAACAAATCTGCCCCCAATGAGATTGGGAACCCTCTGACATGTAGCACCAAGAGAATTTAATTCCAATGTAACTTCAGACAAAAACCCAACAAGGAGAGAGGGAGATAAAGAGAAAAGAGTGAGACAGCAAAGAATAGTTCACTTAAGCACTAAAAATCTCCCTCATCCCAAGTAGTTGGGCTACAACTTTGTGAGCTGATCATGTTGGATAACATCTAAAGCTTACCGGAGGGTTCCGTTGCCTCCAGGATGGTTCCATAACTGACAAATAATTGTTTCTTACAGCAGATTTCTGAGGTCTCAATGACTTGTAGTTTCTCACTAGAACACAAACATGAAATCACTCAGCATAACAAAATACTGTAAAGAAACTAGGAAAAGCAAACAAATCAGAGAGTGCCTGACAGTGATGCAAAAACAAACTACCTGACATATTTCCTTGCCGGAGCTTGGCTTTGACATTATAGACATGCTTTGGTGTCGATAAAAGATCAGGATTGCTCTGCCTTAGTCTCTTTAGTATTTGCCGAGGTTTTAATCCAGCCTCTGTCATTTCTTTAATTAACAAGACTTCTTTCTCTGAAAATCGACGAGCAGAAGGATGTTCTGCAAAGTCCTTCAAGGGCTCATGGTTGTGGGTTCCATTTTTAACAGTAAGTACCCACAAACCATCATCCTTTTTACCCACAACTTCAAAAGGACAATTTGTAAGCCGAGAACCAGTCTTTCTTCTGCGAATACATTCAACAGAGGACTCATCAACAGTTTTCCTCCTGTTACGATAGACACCTCCTCTGTCACAGCCAAGGACTACCACTTTTTCTCTCTTTGATTGCTTAATAGTTACCACGTACCCTTGTGATCCAGCAAATTCACCAACATGCTGGATAAGTTCTTCACGATCTACAAAGGTTCCAGGTGGAGGAGGAAGCATCTGTGTCTGTTCATTCAACTCTGTGCTACTTATATCCATCATAAGTCAATGAAAGAGATCACCTAGAATAAAGCATAATAAGTGTCAGACTTTGAAGATCCTCAACACAATCAATCAGCAGTTATTTATTTGATCATCCTCCTCTAGGACTTCACTCTCCATTGAGACAAAGTAGATTATAATACCTACATTCTCCAAGCTGTAAAAACAAAACTCAATTAGGTGCAAAAAACTTTATAATAATTATATAAAAACACATGTACTTGTGCTATGCACGAAACATAGACATGGACATTTTCGATATTATATGTATCATCCGAAATGTTTTTAGTTCATAACCTTATATATAAATAGCTCAAAAGCACTTTTTCTTGTTTCAGAAATTAAACTTCCTATATGATTCACATGAATATTGAATTGGCATGTCACACGATCAAAATGCCTAGATATCCATATACTTCAATTAATGCACCGGAATCTTTTATGGCCTCTGTTTATCATGATGAAGTGACCCTAACCAAATTCTAGTGATTAGATACCCTATTGCAACGAATTCTCTACTAGTAAATTAGACTCGGCATTTCAATTTTCTTTCATTCTCTCGGGAACCAAACGGAAAATATAATTTCAGTTAAAGATAGACAAAAAGAGCCAAAGAGAGAGAGCAGTTGCGGAGGCTTACCATCGACGAGGATCGGGAGCGAATCGACGGCGCCGGACGTCCAAAGGATAAAAAAGGAATTCTCCTTTTTTATTTTTCTTTTATTTTGGGTTTTTTTTAATATGCTTTTTCTCGCAGGGTGAATTTTGCTCAATTGAGGGACAGTCGAAGGTGTTTCTTGATGGGTCCGAATCAAGAAAACAAGGTATGTGTTTGCCGTTGCCAGAATGGCAGTGAGTTGGTCGCGTTGTTTAAACCAGTTATAATGCATTTCAACCAAACACGACTTCGCGGCGTGTTTGGCTCTAAGTGAATGTAATTTCTTTCTTCCGGCCTTCTTTTCGGATTTTATATTGTGCAAAATTTATTAGACATAACATCTAAAAAAAATCTTAAATTATTAAAATAAATAAATAAATTTTTATTAGTTTATTTTATTTATTAAGTTTTTATATTTTATTTTAAATATAAATTAATTTTTATATTTTTATTTTAAATTAAATAAATTTTTATTATTAACGTTTGATTTAATTAAAATGTTATTGATCATTATATGTCATGTGACACTAAATAATAAATTGATATATCATAATGGATGGTAAAATAACATGTTGATATGATATGATAATATAATTTTATAATATTTTTCGATTTTCACGTTAATGTTTAAATATAAAATATAAAATTATTTTTTAATTATAAATAATTAATTATTAATTATAAAAATTTATTTATATTTTTTAAATAGTTCAGGGTTTTTTTTTATTATAGCTTTTTATTACAACTAAAGATGTCAACAGTGGCTTAAAAAATAGATAAGAATTAAATAGAAAATTAATTTTGTGAAAATAAAATATAATAATTATTATTTAATTTGATATGATGAATAAAATAAAATAAAAATAGTTATTATTACTTATTACTTTGGTTGGTAAAAATAATTTTAGAATAAAAAAAGAATAGAAGACAAAAAGATAAAAATACATTTTATTATAAATATAATTTATTTTTATTTTATTTTTTAAACATTAATATTTTATTTATAATTTAATCATTAACATTATAAAATATTAATATATTATTTATAATTTAAATGTTATTATGTTTATTTAGATTTATTTTTTAAATATTAATAATTTATAATTCATTTAAAATATTAATATTTTAATAATTTAAATATTATAATTTTATTTAATAATTTAATCATTGAAATTTTAAAATATTACATTTTTATTTATAATTTAAATATAATTATGATTAAAATATTGATACTTTTAATTAATATTTAAATTCAAAATATTTGTTAATAAATAATTGAAAAATTAAACTCTTTATTATAATAAGATTTATTTCCATCAAAAACAAAATTACTCTTTATATAATTTAATAAATTTTATATCAAAAAAAATTAAGTAAAATTTTTCAATCCTTTAATTTTTTTTAATTAAAACTTTAAATTTTTAATAATTTAATAATTTATTATTAAGTATTAGTATAATTTTTATTTTTATTATTTTTTCTCTATTTGTATTTTATTTTTAATTTATATTTGCGCTTAATAATTTTAAAATTATTATTTTTACAATATTAATATTTTATTTATAATTTAAATATTATTGTAATTAAAATATTAAAATTTTAATGTCTTAATTTTTTAATTTAAAATATTAATTTTATAAGTTTAGATTTGTAATCTTTAAAAGAAGGTATAAACATTTTAATCTAAAATATTTTAGATTCTATTCCAGTAGGTGTAAAATAGCTAATACCATGGGAGAGGTAGTATTAGTTATTTCAAAGTTTCGCAAGATTTTGAAGAAGAATGGCTATTCTTTCCTCCATAAACAAACCAAACATAAGGAGAAAATTTTTGGAGATAAATCCATTCCTCCAACTAAACATTCTATTAACATCTTAGACATTACATGTTATATATCTGTACTTGTTAAACCTCATATTAAAATAAATTTAAATTAATTTTTTATGTATATTATTAATAAAAATTAAATTAATAAATTTAAGTTAGTTCATAAAAAGTAAATTAAAATTTTAAATCATATGTAGAACAATTAATGAAATTTAGTAAATATTATATTAATTATAAAAAAAATTATAAATAAAAAATAATATATTAAAAATTAAAATTTAATATTAAAAATGATTATTTATAATTAAATTGGGTAGTGGTTATCCTACAATCATTACCCAAACTTGTGATGGGTAGAAATTTTACTAATCGAGTACAAAATCTTACCTAATCAAGTCAGACAACGTAAGACATTCGATTATAAGTTATTTATTGACATTTCTAAATTTACAAGAGAAAAAAAATATGCTAGTAATTAATCAAATTTTATCAAAGAAAAGATAAAATTTAGTTTTACATGTTTTGAGTTGACTTTTTTTTTCCCTGAAAAACGTGTGGAAATTAGCTTGTTATTCCTCAATGTGGAGTTGTGGGAGTAAATTTCATTATAAAGAATGGTGAAAACAAGTCAGAGAAACAGAGATGATAAATTGTGATTATAAATCTAATAATAATAATAATTTTCAGCAAAATTTCCTGGTAATTATCTCTTTTTGAAAATATTTTAATACTTAATGGAAATTATTAATTACACTATAAGCGTGAAAATGGCACAAATATAGTAGTTGATGAAGATTTAATTAGAAACTTCACAGGATCAAATTCCAAACTCCAATAAAGTTGGCATGATCAAATAGTATTTGGACTTTTCCTGGGGATGCTAAAGAAATTTTCCTTTTTTCTTTCATTATACCACTCATATTGCTCATTTTTGCTCTGCAATAAGTAAAACAGTCCAAAGCAGATGAACCCAATCTGGTTAAATGAGGAAAAGGAAAGAAATGGAAATACTAATACTAATGAGAGTGGAATATAACAGCACACATATTAATTAGCCAGCTGATTCTAAGCACAAATACTCTACCTGGCTCTGAGGTTGTTACTTGGTTTTCCCAACAGAGAAAGTCTTCCATCTTGGACAAGTTGGTAAACATTGAAAACAGTTTAAATGTTCAGCAGGACAACCACTCAGCCATTAACTCTTAAGGTCTGTTCTCATTACCTCTTAAAACAACAGTCATTAACTCATTATTTGGTTTACATGTTATACAGCTAATAATTCCAGCACTTGCCAATGAAATATATCCTTTTTTGCAACATCTGCTTGAATCCACAACAATCATAGATACATATATTACATACAATGACGCCAACCAGCATATTTAGTAATGAGGCTAGGCCTAACTTCATCAATCTTGCTCTGGAGGGTGGATAGAGAACTGCTTGTTTGCTAAGTAAAGAGAATAATCCATGGCTTGGCATTTGATTTAAAGAAATGTAGATGACAATGTGTACAGAAACCTGTGAAACCAGTAATCTGTTCATGTATCTGCTTAGTGCAATCTATTCAACGTCCTCAATTCTTTTCCTTTAAAAGCTTTTGCCTAAATACTTTTCACTCACCTGGACATGTCCAGTGCTTCGGTTTTTCCTCATCCTTCCTTTATATATCATTAAGACTCAAGTAAAGCCCCATAGGAAATAAACAACAAGATATTGACTGCATTAGTATTATCTGTAGATGTAAAAGGCATTAGGATAACTTGATTAGTCAATTTGATGAAAAGAATGACAAACAAACTAGTTGCAGGTAGATTGCTTTCTACAATGAAATTAATCTGGATAAAAGCATGTTCTAACACCCACTCAAACACAGGGTATAACTCCCATTCTCCCAAACAGCAGTTTGATGAGGATGATAGTTCAAGAACTGAGCAGAAATGAAAACTTTTCCAGATATATCAAAGTATGAAATGATAAACAATCTAAATAGAAAGCACAAATCTTCCTAAAATTGAAAAAATGTTGTAATCATTAAATAGTCAGATAGCTTAATGAATTGAAAATAAAACGCAGATGCTAAATCTAATAATAAACCAAGGTTGAAATAAGTGTTGAGAGACACCGTAAACTTGTAAATAAATGGAACCAGTAAAGTTGTCCTCATTTGCCAATACTCACTTGCAGAAACAATATGAAGTAAAGCATTCATTAATAAATGCTATGCTTTATGATGAACCCAAAGGTTAAACTTCCTTTATGGTTCCACCAGGAGAGGTTGTAGGAAAGATTGTTCGAGTAGCCAAGTACGGCTGGAACTCATCTGTCTAACAAAAAATCTCTCATAGGACTTCTACTCTGATGTGCCCTTTTCATTTAAAATAACAACAAAATCACAAAATTAGAAACAATGGATTCTAGTTTCCATTTCTTCTAACTGGAATATTAGGTGGCTATTTATAGTCTGCATAACCGTATGATCTATGATTGCCTATAAATAGAGACAATCAAACTTAAAAGATGGTGGAAATAATTGTATTTATATTTTTTTTAAACATGCCGTTTCATCAAAAAACTGTCAGAATTTAATTACAAACACGAGTAAGTACAGAAGTGGAATCCAGAAAAATTTGCTCATAATATCATGTTTGTAACAGAACATAAGTCTTTCTTGGTGAATAAGTCATTCTAAGTTGCTCAGAAATGGAACTATAGCAGCGAATATCTTCTGCAATGCCAACAAAGATACATCACTAACATCTAAACTTTCCATCGCCATCAAAATGATTGAAGTGAAAAGGCTTCATCCATCAATAATGTAGTGTGTACTAAATTACTTATTAAGCTCAAAAAAGTGATAATGAAGGAGAGAAAAATAATGCAATATCGAACTTCCTTCATAAATCCTTTGGTTAAATGCTCCCTAGATAAAATGCATTTACAGAGCTACATAAGTGGACATAAAGCTACATTTTTTATGAGAACAAATCAACTAAGGAAATCAAATTTTGGAGAAGAAAGAAATGAAAGAGCAGATATTAGTTGCACTGTATTGTTTAATAATCAATTTCCAAACTTTAAAAGATGAGCACCTAATTCCATTCAACTCAACCTAAAGTAAAATACAATCAACAACTTACAATACCAAAGTTTCAGTTTCATAAGAGCTAACTGACTCATTCTCCATGCCATCTTCCTGGGTAGCATGCAAAAAGCTGAAGCCTACATCATCTTCAAATTGACCTAATTCATCATCTTTCATATAATGCTTCAACTTCTGCTTGCACAACTGCAATTGATTTTCCTGTAAACTCCTCTCTGACTCATGTTTCATTACAATCCATTGCAATGATTCAATAACTTGTTGATCATATTCCTGCTTCTGCTCTGCCATTCGCTTGTACTGATTAGCATCGATTTCCATTGAACTCTTCTCATTTTGAAGGCGCAAAATCATGGCCATTGCCTCATCAGCTGCCGATGCAGCTGCTATTCTCTCCTTTTCAAGCTCTTGACAAGCAGCCTTTGTTCTTCTCCTTTCAAGTTTAACCAATTTCCTCAATGCCATTACATCAAATTCTTCATCTTCAGGACAACATTCTTTTTCTTTATCATCACTGTTCTCTTCTACAACATATTTTGCTTTACCATCAGTATCTTCCTTGACAAAATCTTTGCAATTTTCTAATTGTTTTAACGAACCAGAGAGACAAGACCTAATCTTTGGATCATAAACTTCATCCAGGTCACGTTTTAAACAAATCCTACCTCTCAAATAATTTGATTTCCCTCTAACATCACATAAGAATTGCGTTATACCTATATTCGTCAAACCAAATTGCAAAAACTTTAACCCCAAACCAAACACCAAAAACAACCCCAAGACATTGAAAACATGTGAGAAACGACCAAACACGAAAAACCCACATCCAAAAAATTCATTTCCTTGAGTCAAAAACTTCAAGCATGAAGGACAGTCCATCATGAAAGCCCCCAAGAAAACCTGTAAAACCCTCTTGTGCAACTCAAGAACAGAGCACACAGTCACCAACAAAATAAACTGACCCAGAATCAGCATGTGGGTTCAATGACTTTGTGCCACTCTTATCTATATCCTTTTAACAAAATCTTGAAGGGCTCAAAAACTTGTAACATAAGCAAGAAACAGGCATTAAGATTTCACTGAGTTTTCACATTCTTTTTCTTTCCTTTGATTAGAACTCATGAAAGTGAAAAACAGAGTGCTGAAATTTTGTTCACCACTGACCTTCTACAACGGAGAAGATCCCTCAAGCATTGTTAATTGTTAGGGAAAACAGCAGATGGGGATTTGTTCGCGGAGAGAGAGTGGTGGCAGTTGTTGTATAGTGTCCTCATAGCGTGGGTTTTATTGGGACACGAGAAGAAAGAAGCGAAGAAAACCGGGGGGCCTTTCGAGTCGTATATTCACTTTTTCAGAAGAGTCGGCGAAATTATGACGTGTGATGAAAATCCAGTGTGCTAAATATCTTAATATTACTAACTATTCTTTATTATTATTTTTTGACTCTATACTTTTTCTTTGTACTATTATTTGCTTTCTTTCAAGTCATAAAAACTCATCCGTTGAATGTTTTTAAGTTTTTAACTACATTATTGGTTTAGTTTTAAATATTATATTTATATATAAGTGTATCGGTCATAAATTGATAAAATTTAGTTTTAAATTATTCCATAAAAATTTGTCATATTAAAAAAAAATAAAATGGACAAAATATAAGATGAATATAACATTTTTACCGGATACATTTGAAATAATGACATTTATAAGCATAGTACTTAAAAAATTTTATAAATTATTTAAAATAATTCAAATAAAGCATTATTTTTATTACAATCAATTAAGTTTTTATATTTTTATTTTAAAATAAATAAATTTTTATAATTAATGATTGATCAATTATTATTAATTAAAATATTATTTATTATTTTATGTTACTTTATGCTAATATGATAAGTTAATATGTTATAATAGATGATGATGTGGCATGTTGATATGATATAATGGTATAATTATGTGATACTTTACCATTAACGTCAATATTATGTAATAATAAAATAATAAATAATATTTTAATTAATAATAATTAATTATTAATTAAAAATTTATTTAATTTAAAATAAAATTATAAAATATAATAAAAATAAAAATTTACTTAAATATTTTAAAATAATTTTTAAAAAATCAAACATCATGCCCATTTATAATTAATAAAGTATTTTTTTCTTATATGGTGCTATGGTATTAAGAAACTATATATTATATGAAATTACTAATTTTTCGTGGCTCTTACCTCTTAATGGCTGAGCACACTCAACGCATCAAATACAAGGTCTTAGACATCCCAAAAGCATGATCTATGTTTAGGTAACGCAACTAATTATCAGACATGCAAATGGAATGACTTATTTAGTATTTATATACCTCAAAAAATCCAGGTTACGCCCATGCATGGTGGTGTAGGTAATGTTATCCATTGTTTGATTCTAAGTGTTTAATTCATTTTTTAGAGTTCGACATGAAAGATATTAATCGTCGGGATTGGTCAGGTGTCACATGTTTCAAACTATTCATTTCCTTGATCAAAATCAGAACTGAAAGCCCTCAATAAGGACAACTTGCCCTTCAATTACCAATGCTGGTTTTTCTTATATAGAGCTTGGTTGAAACCGGAAAAAAAAAATTGGATCAAATCCCCACCCTTTGTATTCTGCCAACAATACTAAGCAGTGTGGTAATGCATAGTTTACATGCCAATCGAGCCAGATCTCGATTTTTGCTCTATTTGATGTATATTTTGTTTAAAAATGGTAGTGGCAATCGGTCTAAGAGCTAGAAATTCAGTGCCATGGAATTCTTTTCAGGCTAGATCCGAACCTATACTAATCCTCCATGGAATTTAGTATCAACAAAATTTATTGAACTGAAGACAGTTGTGCTGTCCTCAAGCTGAAAGGAAGTCAAAAAGGCGATTGGACTTGTTTGTTTCCCTGTAAACATTTTGTTGGCTTCCCACCTGATTCGTTGGTGCCCTTGAAACTTGAAAGGATAGACTATCATTACATTATTTAATGTATCTAAAACCAAATCCTCTTAGTGTTCCTCATACACTGCTCCCCTCTCAAGGAGGCACTGTTCTGGGAACAGTAGAAATTCCAAAGCAGCACCCCACCACCCTTTTTCTCATTTTGTTTTCTATTTTATTTTTCTCTTTTATTATGGGTATTTTTATATTATTACAATTTTAAATTTTCAATCCTATTCCTACTTCTTTCAATTCAAATAATATCTTTTTATACTTATTCATTTATTTTTCATAAATATTATTATTAAGTTTCTAAAATAACAGGACCTTAAAATCTTTTATATGATTTGTACGAAGATTGTATGAGTAAAAGTATTTACTTTATAAAAATTTACATAGTCAATTTTACTTCTGACTGTAATCAAATAATTATCGTCTAGAGTGTAATAATCTATGTACTATATATAAAAGTATGGATATTGAAAAATATCAATACTTCATATATATATATATGTAAAAATGTATAAAAGTATGGATATTGAAATTTTTTTTAATTGACTAAAATGAACATTTTTGCTCTCGATTTATTCCATTTAGAAATAAGGAGTCTAATTCTATTCAATGACTTTCAATTAAGTACTATTTATGCTAGTACAATTCAAATCAAATTAAATTATTTAAGTGATTTACATATTTTACTCTTTTTTAGAAGTTAAAATCTTAAAAGTTTTTAATTAAGTATTTTATGACTTTGCTATTAGAAACAACAATTAGTATAAAAATAATTTCTTATGCAAGTGGATTATTACTTCAAATCTAAAATTGTTATTTTTTTGTACTTTGTGGATTTGTAGTGGAGAGTCTATTCCCTCAAAAGTTTATAAATTTATTAAGATACAATATTTGAAAAAACTCTTAAACTATTTAAGAAAGTTTAAATAAGCTCTTATGTTTAATCAAATTTTCAATCAAATAGATCCTTATAACTAATTATTAACTAAATATTATCAATTAAAATATCACTTGTTATTTTGTATCTATACAATATTGATGTGATGTTGTTATAGAATGCAAAAATGCTACACAATTATGTCATCATGCCATATAACATATAATGACAAATAATATTTTAATTAAAAATAATTAGTTATTCAATAATTATAAAGACTTATTGAGTTTAAAAATCAAAATATATAAACTTAATTGAACGTAACAAAAGAATAAAAATTTATTTATATTTTTTAAAATAATTTAAGGATTATTTTAGGTATTTATTTATTTATTTAATAATTAATATTTATATATTTTGTAGGTTTTTAATAATATTTTTATTTATAATAAATTTTTTATTTTTTTCTATAATTTTTGATGTATATTAATATAGTTAACGTTTCAAATTACATGGGTGACATAAAAAATAGTAGGAATAATAACAAGAAAACCGTGTTGCCCAAGCCCTCACCGTCAACGCCTACGTCGAGATTCTTCCTACTTCTTTCGAAGTAGTAATTTTTCTCTGGTTTCATTGTGTCTACTTTGAATGATTAAAGGTTTCAAAACTTGGATGCCACGCTAATCCATGTATATTTTATGCTTTTTCTCTGAGCTTGAACTTCAAACCTAGCACACAAATCTACACCCATGGCTCAAAAAGTGAAGAACAAGAGGCAAGTTCCTCCCAAGAAAGCCAACAACGGGACAGTCACATGGCCAGATCTTCCACAAATACTGGTCGACATAATCGCAAAGCAGCCAGCACTGATGCAAAACATAAGTTATGGAGGGCTGACCAAGTTATGTAGATCACCGCCAAGAAAATGCAATCCTAATAATTTTACACCACCATGTTTTCAACTCTTTGATGAGATAAATGGCAACAATGACGAAAATTACGTCGAGCCTAATCTCAATGTTTCATTTCACCGAAGGTGGTTCTGGTATTGGTATTTTTCAAGGTGGGCAAGGCCGCCGGTCCGAAGCTATTGGAAACATTATGTTGGTTTCTCAAATGAGGCTATAGTGGCTAAAGGAGACACATTTTCAGACCCCAAATCTCCAGAACTTGTTTACCTTTGGTATCCAGTTGATGGATACTCCTTTTCTAGACTCCCAGAATGGGATGAAAGGATTCCATTTGCCCGTGTGGTGGTATCCTCATCAGCCAGAAATTTATCTAATAAGAATCGTACTACTGTGATGGTCTTGACAGGAACCAGTCATCCAGCGTTTGTATTCTGTCAACTAAGAGGAGAAGGAAGAAGGGAATGGGTGAAGCAAGATTGCACCTTGACTAAACCACATTGTTCGATGAAATCAGAAGGGAAGCATTTTATGACATTTACTAATGCTATTGGATTTAATGGAAGGTTCTATGTTCTGAGCTTGCAGGGAACCCTTGCAGTGATAGATGCCACTGATTCTTATCCTAGAATCACCTCTCTGAGTTCGGAAAGGGCTGTTCCTTCTGTGTTGCCAAAGCATTTCAGAGAATATTTGCTCGAATCTGAGGGGAAAATCTTATTGGTTTTCCTCATCTCTAGAAGATCAATCAAAGTTGTGGATGATGTAGAAGTTTTCCAGCTTAATACAGCAAAACTCTTATGGGTTAGGATGGCAAGCCTTGGGGATAGAGCCTTGTTCTTGGGGACTAACTGTTGTATGTCAGTCTCCGCAAGCAGAGTAGGATGTAGAAGCAACTGTGTCCATTTTACCTATCACACAGCTGATGGTTGGTGGGTATTTGACATGGTAAAGAGCTGCATTTCACCAGGTTGGAGTGATGCCGCCACGAAGTCTCCTGTTTGGACTGCACCAATACAAGAAGAATAATTTTATTCACCAACAATATATTAAATTGTTGCCCTTCGGATGGAAAATATGTTACAGAAGTTTTATACAGTGATTTGACTTTGACCTTTTTGCTATGACCGCGTCTTACGTGTTATTTATTTGATGGAAGAGACAAAAAAAAAAAGAGCAGCATTCATCCGCTTTCAAAAGGCTTACGCCGGAGAGTGAACGGCCCCTTCGGCGTGTCATGACTAAAAATTGAATTAATTTAAATTTCTTAAAAGATGGAGGTCATATATTATAAAATTGAAATTTTATTAATTTTATCTTTTTATAATGCGCATTATGTTAAAGAAAATGGTCTGTTCAATATTTTAAGCATGTTATGATAGAAAATCAAATTAATTGAAATTTCTTAAAAACGGATTTAATTGATCAAACTCTTAAAAATAACTAAATTAACTGGAAATCGAGGTAGTTCCATCATACATCATGAAATCAAAAATTTTTCAATTTTATTTTTTTGTAATGGACATAAAGCAAAAGTAGAAGGTCTTTTCGGTATGTTATGGTAAAAATGGAATTAATTGAAAAT